TCAAATCCTGAGTACACCACTCTCAGCATCACCGCTCCTGTCCCAATCCTGTCCCTCTACTTGGTCTATTCCTTTTTCTGAGATTCAGCTGGAAGGTGGTCTTGTCTGCTGCTTTCTGCTTCCCTCCCTCCCCTGAAGCACCTAGTCCCTAGAATATATTGACTCTTCATGGCTGTTACAAGATGCATCACACTGTACTTTATTCAGCTAACCAAATAAGATCTAGGAGGTACCCAACATTTCGAATGATTTACCTGAAGAATGTGAACGTACGAGGTTGAGCTGGAGCTCCCTAAAAGAGAAAGGGAAAAAAATCTTCTTATTGTTACTGTGCACGTTCTAATCTGACCTAGAAGCTTCTAGAATTCTAGCAATGTATCTTAAAGACGTGACCAGGCACTAGTTGGTTCATTATAGCCATGTTTCTAAGAACAAAAAGTTAGAAACGATCTAAATATGGAATTAGGAAATTTTCCTATGATCAAAAGTTGTGTGTGGCCATTCAAACCTATTGGAAAATGTTTGGAAACATGTAGATATTGACTTTAGAAAAGTGATATAAAATGTTCCAGAAGGAGAAGGTTCATCAAAGTGTTGACAGGGTTTTCTGGGAGGTAAACTCATAGTCATGAAAATGGTCCCTCATCCGAGGAAGTGAGCGGAGGGACAGTTACATCTTTGGAGGGACACTGAGGCGGCATGAGGCAGTGGAAGAAACCAGCAAGCCTCTAAGTTCAATACCAAGTCATGTGTAAATTAACCCGAGCCTTATCCTCCTCATCTGTAAATTGGGTCTAATGATATCTCCCTTGTTGAAAGGAACCTGAAAAATGGGGGTAGGTGGCATGTGGATGTGTGTGAGCAGGAGCCAAACTTACTCTAGCTTATTGATAGGAATAACAGTTCTGGCAAATTTTCCAAAACCTGTAGTAATGCCGTACACAACTGGAATAAAAGACAGACACCATCCAATTAGATGCAGGATATATATTTTTAAGCCTATAAAAATAATTGTATAACACAAAGGGGGAAAGATACCCGTTTTTTCTTTTATGATGCTGTCTATGACTTCCCTGGATTTTTGCACCTTCTTCTCCGCAGTTGGGGTGAGCTAGGAAAACATTGGTCAGAGAGGAGCACGTGGAAGATGTCCACATGTGGCAAAAAGGGTCAGAGGACATCCGTCCCTCCCCCTTACCTTTATTTTGTAGCGTCCCTTCCCCAAGTTGACCAGGTCCTCCGTGGTCAGGCTGTCCCCATCTAATTCGATGTACTGCACAAAGGAAGGGGTCTCCGTGAGTCTGAACAGCTTAGCTGCTCGGACAAGAGATAGGGAAGCCTCAAGCAGAACCAAACTTGGCCACTTCAGAGATTTTATCACTGCTATTAATGTGCTAAGATAAAAGACACCTTACTTAAGAGGAAGCTGAGTAAGGACTGTTTTTCTAGTGCTTTTTCCTACAACATGGGGCTGGAGAAAGTCCCGTCCTAATTGGTAATGTTTGCTCATAAATCTTGCTGGTCCTCCCCCTCCTTAAATAAGGGGGACTTCATTTTCTTAACAAAAAGAGTGGTTTGCCGCTTACCTTTTCAGGCTCTCGGTATTTGCTATACCTGAATCCAGGTAAAGGAAATTACTGGGAAGTGTGGCACAGCCCAGCCCCGTCCCTGGCGGGGGACCCCACCCCCAGAGTATCCCCAGAATCTGCAGGAAAGGATACAGGTAAACTCCCTCTGGTTGCGATGGAATGAAGTCAGGAGACATGGCATCCCCTTCTATAACTGAAACAAGAAGACGAGAAGGACCCCTTACAGACCACAACGGAGAGCCCCTTTGGCCTTGCTGGTAAAGCAAGGAAGTGCCGGCCCTTCAATTGCCTTTGAATTCTTTCGAAATGGCTGCTTTAAAATGACTTCAGATACTTCCAAGTGCTCTTAGCATCTTTACAATGAAGGAGAGCAAAGGGCAGAGATGCAGGTGCCGGGCGTGGACCCTGGTTTAAACGAAAGTTCAAGATCTAACCCCCACCTCTGTCCCATCCCAGCTTTATTTTGTTTGAAATCTGAACTCCTCTGTGCCACAGGCCTCTCATCTGGTGAAGGTCTTTTGAAGGGCTTCACCTTTAAGTTTATAAAAATAGTTACATACACCACCCGGTGGCTTAGTGGTTGAGCATATGAATAAGGAGGCCACAGTTCAATTCTCTTTCAGGGCATATGCCCGGGGTTTGGGGCTCCATAAGTGGGATGGGGATGGGGGAAGGGAGGGAGGTGCAGGAGGCAGCCGATCAATGATTCTCTCTCATCATTGATGTTTCTATCTCTCTCTCTCTCCCTCTCCCTTCTTCTCTGAAATCAATAAAAGTATATATATATAGTTTAAAGTTATATAGGACAAAGTAATTCAATTACTTCGAAGGGATTCAGACCTGCAGTCCCGAGTTCACATCTGCTCTTGGCTTCTTACTAGCAGCCTGACTGACTCTAGGTAAGCGGCGTCTTCTGGGAGCCTGTTGCCTTGTTGTAAACGGTGGATAGACCTGCCCCCACCCCCGCCCCCTTCTCAGTAGGGTCGGTGAGGATCTAAGGCCCCCAGAGGCCTGGCAGCACTTGCACAGCCAGCAGGTGGGGATGTGTGCTGCGTCCATTCGCGCCTCTCCCCTCCGGCCACTCACCCACTTCCACGAACTCATTGTCCTCCAGGGCCACCTCCAGCGGGTCCTCATTGTCCAGCAGGCCCAGGCCCTTGCAGCGGCGCACCAGAAAGTGCACGTCGTCCACCGAGGCGAAGCCACCGTTGTCCGGCTTGTTCTTGATGTACCTGCGCACGGCCTCGCGACCCAGCCAACCCACCGTGAGCTGCGCGTCCTTGCAGGGCACGGCCAGCCATTCTCCGCGCACGTGCACTGTGTACCTGGGCATGGCTCCGGTGCTCCTGCCGCCCCTGAGGCTACAGCAACCAGGCCGTCCGCAGGTGACAGTCACCAGGAGCGGACAGTTTTATCTAGCAGAGGCTACCGAGGTGTGGTGGGTGGGGAGAGTGAGGATGGACTTTCAAATTATGCCACCTCCCTTGCCTTTACCAATTTACGCGTTGGACAAATATTGATCAAGGCCCCAGGGTCCCTTTGGGTTTTTGCAGCTGAGCTAGAGGCCGGAGAGGGGGAGGCAGGCAGGCCAGCCTCCTGCACACCAGCGATGCAGCCCTAGGACAGTAAGGCCTGGGGGTCTTAGCGCCCTTTTCTTCAGGCTCCCCGGTTTCTCCCTCCCGGGTTCCTGTCTGCATTCCCTTCCATTAAGAGCAACTTAGAAACACCATGTTCCTGTCTTTATTTGGGATTACTCAACTGTGAAATAACCTGCCGGCCAAGTGTGACACCAGGAAGTGTGGCAATCCTCACTCATTTGTTTATTCCACAAACAGGTGTTGAGCAAGGACTCTGTCACTGCTAAGGTTCTCCCAAGCTGCTCCTCCACAGAGGGAGGCTGCAAAGGCCAGAGATCATTTTCTCAACTTTTCAAAGGTCACCGTCTGGACCAAGAGCCAGGGCTTGAAGGTTAACAGCTCAGCCAGCCCTGGGTGGAACGCCTGCTCCGAGGCTGGTTAGTAAGTTCTTAATTAGCCTGTTTCCTCCTCAGAAGGGAAAGGGAATAAATGCCTCACCGCAGTACTTGCCATATCTGCCTGGGATCCCACCCTGGGCCTGCCTTTTACGAACTGTGACCTCTGGCAAGTCGTTTGACCTCCCTGGGCCTCAGTTTCTTCATCTATAAAATGGAGATATTGATAGTGTCAATTGCAAAGGCCTGTTTGGTGAGAGGACTGAGTGAGTTCACACATGGAAAGCCCTTAGAGCTGCACCTGGTGCACTGAAAATGCTTCCGACATGTTTGTGACTATTATTTGGACTTCAGTACTCTATAAACCTATTTTGTTTTATAGATGTTCTTTCATCTTTATACATGAATATCCCTAATCCAGTTAAGCTTCTTCAACACAGGTAACTGCTCCCTGCACCCAATTCATTGCCACTAGTATTAAGAAACTGTGAAGAGCATGGAAAAGATCAAAGAAAAGTAGGCTAGTTTAGTAGTGGGCGCTAGTTGAGCAGCATTTTGGTGGTCAGCCAGTTTCTAGAGATGTGATTAACACAATAGAAAAAAAAATCCTAAAAGGTCTATTCCTATGAAAACAGATTTCTGCTGGGACTAGATGCCATACCAGCATCTCTTTCTCTGGCAGCTTCCGGAATGTGGACAAATAAAGAGCTAACATGCCTTGAGCCTTATTGAAACTTGCACTTGAGCCACCCAAGTTCTAACCGCATTCTGGAACTTGTCATCTCGTGAATTTGATACACGTAAATCTTCCATTCCAATACCCACCTTCTGGCCATAGCTTTATAGCCTTACTCCCCCTCCCCCCCCCCCCCCCCCCAATTTACTTCGGTCATCTCCGCCCTTAGGACTTGACCTCTAGTTGCTTCCTACTGCCCTGCACCTCCTACCTGCTTCTTCACTTATTTTCCTAGGAAGCCAGTCCCCTAGTTGCCCACCTGGACCACTTTCTTCAACATTTTGAAATTTCTTTATAACATTAAACCTGTGCCTACGCTCTGAGTAAAACCTGACCCCTGTGTTCACCCAGGGAGAGGTTCTGCTACAGAAAGTCCTGTGATGGTGCAGATGGTGGCACTGCCCTCCTACTTGCCCACTTTCCAAAACATTCACCGCCTCGAGGACCTTTTCAATATCCACCTCACCTCATTCTCAGAGGACCTTACCTCCTACCTCTCAGAAAACAGAGGCCTTTTGACATGAAGTAGCTTAACTTTCTGCTCCCTTCCATTCACTCATCCAATAAATATTTCTTGGAACACCTGTTATGTCCCAAGTACTGTGCTAGATGCTGGGGATGAATAAATACAATGCATTCTCTGCCTTTATGGTGCTTACTCTCTGGGGATGGATGCAGACATGTAAGGAAGACTGGTTAAGTCCAACTATTCCCTGTACTGTGAGAAAACCCAAACTAAGCCCAGCTTTTGAGCAATCCCAGGCCAGACATGGGACATGTGAGGGAAGAAGGCTCCAGATGATAGCAGCTACCAGCAAATTGCATCACACCCAGAGATCTGAGGCTCAGGCCCCTAGACACAGTAGAGCAGAGATAAGCTATTTCCATTGGTTATGTCCAAATTCATGACCCAAACACCCACAAATCTATACCCTTACTTGTTACTCTCTCCATCCAGAACACACCTCCAATAAGATCTTTCTTATTCCTTGACTCATTTATGCTTTCTTTTCTCCAGAAAGCATTCCCTAAACCCCTTTCTCTGGGCTGCTTTAGTGTGCCTCTTCTTTAGCATTTTATAGAAATTACTTACCTTTGTTCACCCGGAAATTATGTGTATACACCAGCCTGGCACAAAGACACTGAACAGATGCTTATTAGACTCCACTGAGCTGGCCCCAGGTAAATGTTTGGACGTGTGTCTTTAGCGCCCTCTGCCTTCCTCATAGCACCCTTCCACACCACCCTTCAAGGATCCCTTGTCACAATTCACTTTTAGTATCACTCATCAGTGATATTGAAAAGTGACATTAGCTTAGACCCGTGGTCGGCAAACTGCGGCTCGCGAGCCACATGCGGCTCTTTGGCCCCTTGATTGTGGCTCTTCCTAAGCCTTAGGAGTACCCTAATTAAGTTAATAATGTACCTATCTATATAGTTTAAGTTTAAAAAATTTGGCTCTCAAAAGAAATTTCAATCATTGTACTGTGATATTTGGCTCTGTTGACTAATGAGTTTGCCGACCACTGGCTTAGACTATGTGGTGAGCTTAGAGGGCCAGCGATGCCTTCAAAAGGATCATGTGGATTCGTGGATCCACAGTCTAATCACTTAGAACATGATTACAGACCAGGGGTCTGAGCTGAATTCTCTGCCCTATTCCTGGCATGAAGTTTTGAGAATTACACTGCAGTGTACATCCATGTCCAGGGAGAGTGAAATCAGCAGACTCAGGATTACAGACATGGACAGGAAGTTCTCTCTCTGATATCTGCCCCACCTTCAGGGTATTTGCTATCTGTTTTGAGACTTGTGTCACTCCATCAGCACTTTCGGGGGGTATTTAACAATAATATACCCCACCCACATTTATACTCAAAAACACCATTCCTCTTTGCTAGAGTTTATTTGGCCAGGAGTAGACCCAACCTGGCTCAGTCTCATTTCTGGAAATTTGGAATCAAGACAGTTTCTCAACATGGTAAGTTAAGATTACAACAGAAAAGCTGGGGCAGCCAGACTATACCATGTGGACTAGAGAAACAGAAATGAGGCCAGAGTATTGATGGCTCTGCAGTCCTGGGTGCCAGACTCCTTCTGTCTGTCCACAGGTTCCGATGACCTCCCTCTACCTGTACCCTTAAAATAACCATCCTATTCCCTTTCTGACTTCTAGTCATTTCGGTTACTGTCAGTTACAATCAAAGAATCCTAATGAATTGATTCCCAAACTGTGTGCTGAGGCACCCTGGGGCACTACATGGCATCCACAGCTCTCTTACTTGGATCAAGTTGTTGTACTGTTTTTAATATTTCTTCCCACATGCTCTATGCTCTATGTGGGTGAAGAATGTTTGCTGACCACTAAAGAGTAGAGGCAAGTTGAACAGACCATCAAGAGACTGATGGGAAGTACTGGTGTTCAGGGTCGTTACCAGACGCTAATGCACAGGAGAGCAGGGTGAGTCCAGTGGATCAGCAGGGGACCCAGGCATGAGGAGCAGAGGGGTCCCCTAGAGTTGACACACTTTGATAAGGGAGTTCATCCTATATCCACCAGCTGGGTGATGAGCAAATCCAACGGAGTGTTCACACTATAGTTACTTAAAAGGCAAAACCCTAGTCATACTGAATTCTTGGTGTGCAGCAGATTCAAATTACACAACTTAAATTTAACAGGTAAATATGTTGACATATTTTGTGATCATACTGGGAGAAAATAAATATGAAACTGAAAATTTTACATTTATAAATCAAAAAAATTAAACTTTTAGAAAATTCACTTTATAAAGAACATGCCATTGGGGATTTGGGAATGGGGGGGGAAGGTAGCTCAGCTTTATTTATGAAAATCACTGACAAAACAATAAAAAGCCAAACGTAAAAACATTTTTAGTTACAATATGAGCTGGAGTTTATATTTCTTTATGAATTCAATTTAAAAAAGAGAAGCACTTGACATGAGCATCAGACGGGTCCTTAATCCACTTTTAAGTCCTTGCCCACCAGCATGGCAGTCACAGGGTGCATACTTGCTTTGTGCTCTCGGTAGGTACAGATGGCTTGATCACGGGACTTGTCAAAGGCAGCCAGGTCCCTACAAAAAGAAAAAGAGAAGAAGAAGAAACATAGCTAATGATTTATTTTGTTTTTTTTTTGGAAAATTTTAAATAATCATAAATATTTGTCATAATATCTTTTTCTCAGAATTCCTGCCAAATCCATAGTCAAAATAACTTCACCGAGATATTTTTCAATGTTTCTTGGAGTCAAGCGTTCCTGTATGTCAATCAACTACTCTTTTACCTCATTGCAACATTTGAATAAAAAAAATTTGACTTTACTTGCTCAGTGCATCTTCAGACATTTTTCTTGACCATGCCTACTCACTAGTTATCTTCTACTTGCTTTTAAAGATCTTTCTGTGTCTATAAGATTATTTATGATTTATTTACTTTTCATCACTGTCTACCCCATTTGGCCCATCAGAGATAAATCATATATAATGCTTCTTAAAAAGTTAATGAAATTATCTCAAATTTTAAATATTTGCAAGTATTAGTTCCTATACAAAAATTCTATCTATATAAGTGGTTCTCAACCTGTGGGTCGCGACCCCTTTGGGGGGCGAACGACCCTTTCACAGGGGTCGCTTAAGACCATCAGGAAACACATATATAATTACATATTGTTGTTGTAATTAATCACTATGCTTTAATTATGTTCAATTTGTAACAATGAAATTGGGGGTTACCACAACATGAGGAACTGTATTAAAGGGTCACAGCTTTAGGAAGGTTGAGAACCACTGATCTATATCCTTTAACAAATATAAATATGTATTATTTTAGATTGCATTTTACAAAGTATTTTAGCAACAACAAAAACATTTATTTAATATTTTTTTCTTCCTCATCTTTATATAAATTCAAAGCATAATTTGATTCGGTTCTTACTTGAATAAGGGTCGTGTGAACTTCATTCTTCCTTGTTCAGTCACCATTTTTAGAGCCAAAGG